GGCTGGAGCCGGGGCCCCTGGAGCACACCTCCGATGGCCCAGTTTGGTCCACTTTCTAGGTGGCGTGGGAGGAGGGGGTCAGAACATCTCCCAGGGTGCTCAGTCACAAGAGAACCCTGAAGAGGGGACCGCATGTTACAGCCGTCTGCCGTCCAGAATGCAGAAACCCAGCAGGGCAGGCATCAGGCCCCGGTCAGCCATGGAGCTGCTCTCCACTCCACGCAGCCTCCGACGGCCTGGCTGTCGGCACCCAGCTAGGACCGTGTGCACACCTGGGTTCTCGATCCCCCTCTCCACACACTGAGGGGCTTCGTACACCTTCGGAGGCAGTCATTCAGGACCAGTTAGGGAGTGAAAGGTCTTCAGTAGTTTGTCAGTTGTCGAAATGTAATGATTTGATTTTATATTCTCGCTCATTCCTGTTTTGTGGGTGGAACTTAGAATGTGACCTGACAAATAAAGATTACTGTACTTCTTTTTTCATTTAAAAATTGCTTTTTTGCCCTGACTGGTGTGGCTCAGTGGGTTGGGCATCGTCCTGTGAAGCAGAAGGTCACCGGTTCCGTCCTGGTTGGTGCGCGTGTCTGGGTCGCAGCCAGGTCCCCACTGCGGGTGCGGGGAGACAGCTGGCCCAGGACGTTTCTCTTGCTCATCGATGTCTCTCTCCCTTTCTCCCTCCCTTCCGCTCTATCTAAAAATAAATACATAAAATCTTTAAAAATTAAAAAAGAAAAAATCATCCATAATCCTCCTAATTGGAAGTAATTAGCATTCTTTGGGCATATTTCCTTTCAGCTGCTTTATGCCATTTTTAATTATGTAGCTGAGACACCCCCATTGCTCTAGGACGTATGTTGTTATTGACTGGATAGCCCTGCAATGAACAATTGATTTTGAATCTTTACACATAATTTAATGCTCAGCTCTTTCTGTCAGAAGTTTCTGAGTCACGTGATGAGAAAATGTGTAGAGGTTGACTTCCTAACTTTTATAATAGAAACAGCAGGGGTGACCAATGGTGGTCTTGGTCCAGGTCACATTCAGTGCGCTGTCCCTTCCATTTTCTCTGCAACTTTTTGTGGAATTTGTCAGTCATCATGGCAGGTGGTTTGGAGGGCTCCCTCCGCACCAGGAGGAGTGTGACCCTGGACTTCCGCCCGTGCTTCACCTGAGAACAGCCGTGAGATGAAAGGCCTCCTGGCCCAGGCTCTTGGCTTTGCCCTTGTGGCCGTGGCTCATTATGGTGACAACATATCATATTTGTCAAGTGTGTGAGGCTGTGTAAGTGGCGGAAAGATTTGATCTTAGGTCTTTATAAACTGAAGGTTGTGAGGAAGATCAAGATGTGCCCAGTTGAACACTAAGAAAGTTATTTTTGAAGTAGACCTCTTCCCTAGAATTATCTTGGATTAACATTTCTCCCCTGCAAAGGAAAAAAGTCTTGTAGGTATCTGTTAAAGTTTAAAATTACTTGTATCTAGAGCACCACATCGGAAGCATGGGTGGTCTTCTGCACAGCTGTGGCACGCAGGCTGTGTTTACTAGATGTGAGTGCGTTGTTATAGAAACCCTGGTGTAGTGTCTTCTAACCTGGGGGTTCTGACTGCTCTTTCCTTCCTGTCACTTTTATCTTCTGGTATTTACGCGTCCTCCCCTCTGACAGAAGTTCCCAGAGACCCGTCTTCATCCTCCAGGTCCTCCCAGGTGTTGGCCGTGATCCCTGTAGATAAGTGGTACGTTCGGTGGATTCCCCGCCCTGCGGGGCTCGGGGCCACCAGAGCACCAGGCGGGAAGACAAGAAGCCATTCCTGACAGTGTGATTGTCAGCGTGTTCCTACCCTTCCTGAGCCCCCGGCCCCTTGCCTATAAAACAAGATGGTCTCTGAGGTCCCTTTGGCTCTAAAATTGTGCTTCAGTTTCCTCACTTGTAAGATGAGACAAACAAGAGTTTCTACCTTGCAGGATGATTAGGTTAAGTTCATGGTGAAGCTCGTAGCGCAGCACCTTGCGCCCGGTGTAGGATGCAGTGTGGTGAGCAGCTGGAAGGAAAGGCCACAGCAGGGCTTCTGCCTTCAGGAGCTTGCCCCCCCCCCCCCCCCCGGGGGCTGGGACAGCCCTGTGCTCCCGGAGCCCCTGCAGCCTTCAGCGCGGCCTGCAGCAGGGGCGTCCCCTGCCCCCACGAATGTGCCCCTTACAGGGTTTTAGCCCTGCTCTCTCTTCCCAAAGAAACGGCTCCAAATCCTTGTCTCAAAATTTGCCTCTAGGGGAACTCAAACTAAAAAAAGACATAAAATTTCCATGATACATTAAGTGGGGGGAAAAAAAGCAAGGAATGAGGATCTTAAACCTTTTATTCTCAGGATCGCTTTATACTCTTAAGATTTGTCGAGGACCCCAAAGAGCATTTATTAATATGAGTTATATCTGTCAGTATTTACTGTGTTAGAAATTAAAACAGAAATATTTATTAATTTGTTTAATAATAACCATAATAAATTCAGTACAAGTTAATGTCAGTAACATTTTTTATGAAAATTACGTATTGGCCCCCCCCCCAAATCTTAGTGAAATGAATGGTATCATTTACATTTTTGCTGATCTCTTTCATCTCTGACTTAATAGAAGACAGCTGAGTTTTCAGATCTGCCTTTGTGTTCAGTCTTCTGCAAACTTGTATATCATGTAGCTTCAGGAAAATTCTGCTAAACCTAGGTGAGAAAAGGGGCAATGGCACTTCAATGTTGTTATGAAAATAGTTTTGGCCCTGATTGGTGTGGGCCAGTTCTGCAAACTGAGAGGTCACCGGTTCCATTCCTGTGGGAGAGGCGACCGGTCGATATCTCTCACATCGACGTTTTTCTCTTTCTCCTCCCTCCCTTCCCCTCCCTCAAAATAAATAAATAAAATCTTTTTTTTTTAATTATTTGCCCACTTCCTTTTTTTAAAAGATTTTATTTATTTATTTTTAGAGAGGGAAGGGAGAGAGAGAGAGAGAGAGAGAGAGAGAGAGAGAGAGAGAGAAACATCAATGTGTGGTTGCTGGGGGCCATGGCCTGCAACCCAGGCATGTGCCCTGACTGGGAATCGAACCTGCGATGCCTGGTTCGCAGCCCACACTCAATCCACTGAGCTATGCCAGCCAGGGCAATCTCTTTTTTTTTTAATGAAAATAATTTTGATCTTGTGGACCTCTCTGAAAGGGTCTTGGATGTACTAGTAAACTTGCTCTCCAAAAAGAAAGAAAAAAATGCCCTGGTTGTAAAAGTGTCAATTTCCGTGGTGTAAAATACTCCCACTATGGCCACTTTCAAGCTACCAACTTGACCCTACTGGTGGCAGGGTTGGGGGGAGAGACTATGTAAACCGCCAGTGGTGAACCACGGTGCACGAGCACACTGTGAGAACCACGGACACAGAATGTCTTCGGCAGGACACGTGGGAAAAATAACATGGGCGCTTCCAAGAGAGTGGCCTGGTGACTGGAGGACAGTGGACTTCTTAACCAAATATTCTTTTATAGCTTTTGAATATTGTTTTCACGTGTGTGTGTCACCTAGCCAAAAAGGGAAAAAAAGATTTTGTGTCTTGTCTTCTCTTCCTAAATTAACTCTAGAAATATGAATATAAAAATATGACCTGTAATTGTCAATCTTTCCAGATTTTCCATTGCCTCATGGCATCTCTTAGAATTGGTCGTTTCTAAGCACCAGTAAATAGTTCTCACTTCTCTGCCTTCTCCTCTTCTTTCTTCTCAGATGTCTTCCCTCGTCAGCCCCACTTCCTGCCCCAAGCCAGGGGCACGCTGACGTTCTTGGGGATGTTCAGGGTTCAGATCTAGCCTCATCTCAGCATGAGGCCTGGGGGCAGCCCGGCCAGTTGTGGCATGTATGCAGCCAGTTTAAGCAACTTAGCCTTTGTAATTTGATATTTGAGTGGCTAAAGCATTTTACTTATGAACATTTGGGATTACTTTCTTACCTTCTCTTTTGTGCTTTTTGTAAACTGGAGACTTTTCTGGTGATGGTCTGATCACCCCTCAGCCACAAACAAGATTACACCCGTGCACGGAAGGCCAAATGTTGACGGTCTCACTCTTGCTGAAGGATAGCGACTGGGGAACATCATACATACTCCTGCAAGCTCTGCGCCCTTGAAAACCTTTCTGTAACTATGGCAGTCACTTCACCTGAGGCTTCCTGAGCTCTTTGTTTGTTGTTTAAAAGGATTTCACTGAGATTAGCCCTATTTGAGAGTTATCTTCCATAGGTCATTGATGTCTCGGAACCTGTGCTGGTTTAGCTGGCTGGAGGCAGCAGCAAGCCACACAGGTCTCATTGACCTGTGTTCCCGTCGTCCTTGGTTTTGGTCGGGGGTTTGGTCAGGGTTTCTTTTATAGCTTTTGAATATTGTTTTCATGTGCGTGTGTCACCTAGTCAAAAAGGGAAAAAAAAGATTTTGTGTCTTGTCTTCTTTTCCATGCAACAGCTGCCCCACAAAAGCTGATTTTCAGGAACCTGAAAACCTACATTTTTGCTAATCTCTGTAATCTCTGGTCGCACAGGTTGTCTCAGTCTGAGATGCGTGGCGAGAGGAGGAAGGTTTGGCAAAGGAGAGAATGTTAGAATGGGGAATTCTAGGAGGCCCGGCAGGCAGGGGGATTGCAGTGCTCCGGTCCTGGGAAGGCGGGGGCTGTGCTGGCTGGAGGCTCCCACGTAACCTGTAGTTAAGTAGCGGAAGGAATTTCTGAGGCATGCTTGGCATCCGGATCCTCGGTATCCACCCAGGAGAAGCAACCCTGCGACCTTCAGGGTGCAGATCACCAGGAAGTGGAGATAGCAGGCAGCACGTGGGTCCCCTTCCCACTCAGCCCTGACGTGGTTGGTGAGCTGTCGCTGCGCTGGCTCAGGATGCCTGGAAGGGACCCACACATCCCTCTGGTAGAAACTTCTGTACTCTGGGCTGGAATCTATTTATAAGCACGGGGCACACTGGTTTTCCAGGTAGCTCCATGGAGATAAAAGGAGATTTGGATGCTCCAGCTGCTGTTGGAATGAGAACTCCAAGGCTGAAGAACCTCAACGGAAGATGGAGGATTCTGTTAGTATTGCTCTCCTGGTGGCTGGTGGGAGGGGTTCGCAGACTCGGTTTCAGCCCTAGTCCTCCCTCTTACAGCTGTGTGACCCTGGCAAGTGACCTGCCCTCTGTCTCCCCTTCCAATATTCAAATATTTTATTTCCTTAGTCAAAATGTAATATTTTCCAGCTTCAAGGACATGTAAACATTGTGTATATTTAAGGTATATGTGCTCAGTTTCCTTGTTGGTAGAACTGGGATTAAAACAGTGCAGGGTGAGCTGGAGGCGCAGGCTAAGCGGCCAGTGGTGTCCGCTCCGGGGCTGCAGATGTTAGTGGGGTCCCTCCCCCACTCAGGCCCCACGGAGTAGTCGTGGGTTTTCCAGGCCTTGCAAATAGGAAATTCCCCAGTTTCCCAAAGAGCACGGCTTCTTGACTGGCTGGGAGGGAAGCGGCCCACCGTTCTGTGTTCTGGGTCACTCCTGGGCTGGTCTAACATCTGTCGCTGGTCTATAAATGAACACAGGAATGTTTTCTCAGGCAGATGCACCCTGGGCACCCTGAGGCCTGTAAAGCTGCCCCCACCCCGCCCCACTCCTCCTGAGAGCCTTCCCAGCTCCTCCTGCTTCTCCTCGCACCACAGGTGGCCCCGATGTGTGCTCCTCCGGGATTTTCTGATACAACAACCATAGGAGCTCAGAATTCTGGTGCTGAGTCGCTTGCCGTCGTGTCACATGTGGTTCAGAAAATACCCTTCCTGCTCACTGCGTCACACCCAGGCAGCGACCACGCCTGGCCCCGGACTGCAGCCCCACGCTGTCTGCCTCCTGGGCGGATGTAATGTTAGATGACCACACCGTCTTTGCTCAGCACTTGTGGTTCTCTCTCCTGTTTTTGCATCAACTCCTAGTTTATTTTCTTCTTGGATTCACTTTTTTATAATGCTTTTCTACTTAGCCAGAGTCTTTGTGGTTTTCTTTCACTATGACCCATTTCCCCCCCAAATAAATCATCCTCCACCTCTTCCCCTTCCCACCTTTTCTCTCCAGAATGTGCTGTTTCGTGCACTGCACCACTGTCTCCACCAGCTGTCTTCTCACGCTGCTGCTCTCACCTCTGCCCTGGATCTGAGGGGTAGGGTCATGTGACCCTGTGGCAGGTTTCCAAGGGGAGTTGCCACACTTGGGCCTTCGGGTGAGGCCTGAAGTGCCTCTGCTTGAGAGGTCCCTGACTGGGCTGGGAATCAGGACACCTGAATTTCTGGCAAAGGTCGGTCATCCCCCCACCTTCTGAAATGCAGTCGTGGGCTTGACCTGTAAATGAGAAAGTCCCACCTACCTACCTGTGCCCCCCACCCCAATCCCCCAGAGACACCCAGATCGGGGATGTCATCAAACGTGAGGTTTCTTTGCCCGGGACACAGTGGAAGCTGCATTTGCTAGAACTCGCCTCTGGTAAGACGGCTCTCGGACTGCGGACACTCACCTGTTTATCTTCCCTCAGCATCACCTTCCGTGTTACCTTTTCTGGGTAGGAGGTCGTTTACTAAGTAGGAATTATTTTTAGTGCTAATTTTGGTCTCAAATAAGTCTTACATTTTCTTATTCATTCCTCTGAAAATTAGTGACACAGGGATGAGAGAAATTGTACCTGTGCCAAAGTTAACGGGACACGCGGGGAACCGTGTGTCACGCCGTAAGGCCTGTGTAAGTGCTGCTGCTGTGAGTGCGTTCTGAAGTTACTCCGTGCCTGGGCCACCTGTGTGCACTCTCTCTGTCTTGCCCCGTCCCCAGCGTCCCTGTGCTCGCTGGCGCAAGCGGACCACAGACCAGTTCGAGGCTACTCCGCGAACAGTTTACTGAACTCTGTAGATGGCATCCCTCTTCCGTATTGAAATTTCTTTTTTGAACAAAATTTATGTATGTATGTATTTATTTTCTTAAGATAGAGAGAGGACGGGAGGGGGAGAGGGGAGGAGAGAAAGAGAGAGAAACGTTGATGTGTTGTTCCACTTACTGTGCATTCATTGGTTGATTCCTGTGTGTGCCTTGACTGGGGATGGGACCTGCAACCTTGGTGTATCAGGATGATGCTCTAACCAATTGAGCTACCTGGCCAGGGCTAGAAATTTCTTTCTTTTTTTCTAGAAACATTTTAAATTCTTATGACTGGGGGTGGGAGTGGGGTACCAATGGCCCCATGCATCAAGTAGCAGGATGCTGCTAAACACACAGGACAGGGACCCACAACAGAGGACTACCTGGCCCGAAGGTCAATAGCACTGAGGTTGAGAAACCTGACATAAGGGTTTGGTCTTCCTAAAACTGGCATCTTCGTGGCTGAAACGGTCCGGGGATGATAAGTTCTGCTGTTAGCACTGCCTTGTTATTTGAGTGGAAGGAACAGGGAAAAATTGGGGATGCAGCTTGGGGATCCAGAGTTCTAACTTCTGACCCTGAAACCTGGAACGAACATGGTTTACTGCTACAGGCAATAGAAATTTCTTAGTAGATGCTTCTTAGTCCTGCTCTCTTCTGATCCTTAACCAAAGTACCAGTGATACTTGCAGTCTGTGTGATCAGCTGTGGGAACCACACCCCTCAGGGTCAGCAGTGGAGGCTGTCACTTGTGTTTCTTCCCACTACCTCGTTAATACCTTGTAGTTTGTACGGACAAGCTGTTAAGTAACTGGGGGGAAAGAATCCCAGAGACTTACTGGTGCTGTCAGTCATGGCGCCTGTTCCATTCCAGCTGGGGCCGTGGGAGTCGGGGGCAGCTCTGCCCCGGACCCTGAGACCTGGACAGCGCACCTTCCCCGAACCCGTCTCATTCCCTCATCAATAAAAAGGAAGGGCTTGAACCAGATTGTGCGGCGCTTGGGAGCTTTAAAACCCCACAGTGCCTTTTTCTCTGAAAGAGAAAGTTGTTTTTGAAGGACCAGCGCCATCCAATAAAAATGTAACGCAAGCCACACGGGTCATTTTAAGTTTTCTAGTAGCCACATTACAAAAAGGTGAGATTGTTTTTAACAAAATATTTTAGTTAGCCCAACCCAAAATATTATCATTTCAACATGCAACCAGTATAAGAAATTATTGATGAGATAGTTTACATTCTTTTTTGCTGTGCTAAGTCTCAGGAATCCAGAATGCGTGTTTCCATTGGGACCAGCCATGCCTCCTGTCCTCAGTAGCTGTGTGACTGGGGGCTGCGCCCGTGGGCAGCACTGGTCTCTTTGGACCGTCTGGAGTTCTAAGACCTCAGCTCGGGTCCACAGCGCCCATAGCTTGCATCCTTGGTCAGCCTTTTCATTGTTGTGGCTGGAATGTGTAAAGCAGGGACTAACAGCTTGCTGAAACCGGAGTTCATGAAAAGACTTGATTTCCGTGAATAATGTCCCCCCAGCTATGTAAGTGCCCTTGGTCAATGCTGTGAGACACGTTCTGCCCACATAAAGCCTTGGAGAAGTGCTCCCAGCAGGCCTGGCTGCTTTGAGCGACTGCAAATGAGAATAAGATGTGATTTTCCATAATGCTGCAGAGCAGGGTGGACTCTACTTTCTACTCCATGGAGCCTTCAGGGTTGGGAGGGGAGAGAGTTTTTCACGGGAAGGGAAAGGTAAGAAATTAATCAAGCAGTAAATCAGGACTTTGTCTTTGTCTTTTCATGTAGTGGGACTAGAAGATGAACTCAACTGAATTCAATGAAGATGTAGAAGAAGGTAAAATCCCTTATTAAAAATTATCTTTAATGTTTTATTGGGTCATATATTCACACGGTACAGACATATTGATGTATAAAAAGATACAAATTGAAAAGTCTCCCACCACTGATTCCCCTCCCCCTCCCCCATGCACCTTATCTTATATGCCTTTCAAGAGCTACTTTCTTAAAAAGTATGTTGAAAATATAGTATTTGTCTCCCTGCATCTCCTCTCCCCCTAGCCCCTCAAAAAGACTTTAAAACGAGTTTGAATAAAACAGTCTTGGAACATGGTTTTATTGGATAGCACTAGTGCGGCGAGATGAAAATGGCAGGGTCGGAAGGTGCTGCCTCACTCTGGCTAGACTTGACTGTCTGAGCACAGTGTCAGAGGGCGGGCCGCAAACAGCCTGTCACTCGGGGACCCTGCTGGCCTCTGAGCAGCCCAGTGGTCTCTCCCGCTGAGCCCTGTCTCTTCTCTGCCACAGTTCTAAAAAATAACACTGTGAAAGTGGAGACAGAGGCTGAAGATGCTGCCCTGGACTGCTCAGTGAATTCCAGGTCTTTGGAGAAGCACCCTCTGGACAGCGTCTTCACCGCCCTGCAGGACTCCAGCAAGCGGAAGCAGCCGGGCAGCGAGGGCCAGCCAGACCCTGTCTCCAGCGTGAAGAGGCGGCGGCTGATTCCCGAGGTGAGGACCCGGCCCCTTCCGTGTCTGCTTGGGCTCTAACCCTCTGATGGGACACAGCCCCTACTCATGGGATCTGGGCAACTCCTAAGCCCCTGAGTGTGAGAAGGCTTTCATTTCAGCTGCCCCATCTCTGACTGAAGTGTCTAGAAAGTGTCCTTAACTGGAATCTTGTCTGTTTCTGGGTTCAGTAGTGGGGAAGGGAGTCTTCACAAGCATCTGCTTGTGAAGGCAAGAACTTATTGATTGCAAGCCTACATTCTACATAGTACACCCTTAACACAGATTCCTCTAAAAGGGCCGAGGGCTAGCAGGTCTTTTCCTAAATCAAAACCATCTTTTATGTCTGTCAGGGGAGTTTGTTACCTAAAGAAACTTTTCAGTGAATCTTTTTGTAAAGTGGAGAATTCTATATCATACCTCTTATTCTGAAGTTACCTCATTTATGAACTTGCTTTATTTCTTTTTTAAGATTTTATTTATTTACTTTTAGAGAGGAGGAAGGGAATGAGAAAGAGATGGAAAGAAACATAGATGTGCGAGTGATACATTGATCAGTTGCCGTGCAAAAAGGGGACCTGGCCTGCAACCCAGGCATGTGCCCTGACCAGGAATTGAACCAGTGACCTTTTGGTTCATGGGCCTGCACTCAATCCAAGGAGCTACTCCAGCCAGGGCAAACTTGCTTTATTTGTCAGTCACTTGCTGGTTATATTGAACTTTGCTAAATTCTGAGAGAGAAAATGGAGCCTATCTAGTGGCCCCGTCTAGCAGCCTGTAGTCCAGATGCAAGTACGACGTGTACGTAGAGGAGTGAAGGCCGCAGGGAGAGGCAGCACTGGGAGACGAGGAGGGGCCCGGCCGGGATGTCTCGTCCGCCAGCCTCCCCGTGGACCAGCAGATTACACCTCAAACTCTTAGGACATTTTCCCAAACTCTCCAACCCAACCCACCCCCCTACACACATACACACACTGTCTTTGGGGGACCCAGATAGTTATTTCAGCTTCTGCACGTCTGTCCAAAAGAGGCCCCCTTTTCAAGGCTCGTCATCATTAGCCAGAACACCATGGAGTATCAGCCCGGGACTCTGGGTCATTGCTGGTTTGCTTTAATTCTCCTCTGTTAGAGTCTAGGGCAGATCCACAATAAATTGGGGATTTACAGATTTTACAGACTGAGTCTTCAGTAAGTAAAAGGATCCTTTAAGTGGAAAAATGATGTGGTTAAGATTTTCACCAGGATTTAAATATGCATGTTCACATTACATTATAATGACGGCTGACCTGCGTTCCACATCATGGAACATGGATCGATTGTCTATCTGTCTAGGCGCTCTCCCTCAAACCGCTGTATTGACATATGATTCACATACTGTACAATCTACCATTTCAACTTGTACTGTCCAGTGGTTTTTCGTATGATGGTGGTTGTTCACAGAATTGAGCAACCACCACCATAGTTAATTTTAGAGCAGTTTCATCACCCCACAGGGAAGTCCTGTACCCATTAGCAATCACTCCCCATTCATCCCTCCTCCTGCTCCTAACAACACTGACCTATTTTTCATCTCCTTGGATTTGTCTCTTATCAACATTCGTTACAATTGGAATTATAGAATATGTGACCTTTTGTGTCTGGTTTCTTGTACTTAGCAAATGTTTATAAGGTTCATCCATGCTAGAGCACATATTAGTACTTCATTCCTTTTTGTGGCCGAATAATATTCCATTGTATGAATATACCAGATTTGGTTTATCCACTCATTAGTTGACGGACATTTGTGTTCCTTTCACTTTTTGATCATTATAGGCAGTACATTTTTTAAAATCTATAAAGCCCGGAAAAAAAAGTAGAGTTCTTTGTATTACATCTCTGAGGACTGATCAGAAACGTGCCACCCGTTCCCTGGCTGTACACCTCTGGTCCTGGGGCGTTGTCCCGTGTGAACGACAGTGTCCAGTGCAGTGAGTAGTGGCCGCAGGTTAAGTCTCAGATTTCTGTCTGCTGAGAGGTTTGTTGTGGCAAATGAAAGGTACAGGGTGGTTAGTAGAATAGGTTCTTTAAAAAACATTTAACCATTTGCTTTTTATTATTTTTTAAAAGTTTTTTAAAGATTTTCTTTATTTATTTTTAGAGAGGGAAGGGAGAGAGAGAGAGAGAGAGAGAGAGAGAGAGAGAGAGAGAGAGAGAAACATCAATGTGCGGTTGCTGGGGGTCATGGCCTGCAACCCAGGCATGTACCCTGACTGGGAATCGAACCTGTGACACTATTTTTTAAAAAATATATTTCATTGATTATGCTATTACAGTTGCCCCATTTTCCCCCCTTCACTCCCCTCCACCCTTGCACACACCTCCCACCCACATTCCTCTCCTATAGTTCATGTCCATGGGTCGTACATATAAGTTCTTTGGCTTCTACATTTCCCATACTGTTCTTACCCTGCCCCTGTCTATTTTCTACCTACCATCTATGCTACTTATTCTCTGTACCTTTCCCCCCTCTCTTCCCCTCCCACTCCCCTGTTGCTAACCCTCCATGTGATCTCCATTTTTGTGGTTCTATTCCTGTTCTACTTGTTTGCTTAGTTTGCTTTTGTTTTAGGTGTGGTTGTTCATAATTGTGAGTTTGCTGTCATTTTACTGTACATGTTTTTTATCTTCTTTTTCTTAGATAAGTCCCTTTAACATTTCATAAAGTAAGGGGTTGGTGAGTGATGAACTCCTTTAACTAGCGCTTACCTGAGAAGGACTTTATCTGCCCTTCCATTCTAAATGAAAGCTTTCCTGGATAGAGCAATCTTGGATGTAGGTCCTTGCCTTTCATGACTTCTTGGAATACTTCTTGGAATACTTGGAATACTTCTTTCTAGCCCCTTCTTGCCTGCAAGGTCTCTTTTGAGAAATCAGCTGACAGTCTGATGGGAACTCCTTTGTAGGTAACTGCCTCCTTATCTCTTGCTGCTTCTAGGATTCTCCCCTTCATTTTTACCTTGGCTAATGTAATTATGATGTGCCTTGGTGTGTTCCTCCTTGGGTCCAGCTTCTTTGGGACTCCCTGAGCTTCCTGGATTTCCTGGAAGTCTATTTCCTTTGCCAGATTGGGGAAGTTATCCTTTATTATTGTTCAAATAAGTTTTCCACTTGTTGCTCTTCCTCTTCCCCTTCTGGTACCCCTATAATTCGGATGTTGGAACGTTTAAAGATGTCCTGGAGGTTCCTAAGCTTCTCCTCATTTTTTTGAATTCTTATTTCTCCATTCTTTTCTGTTTGGTTGATTCTTTCTTCCTTCTGGTTCACTCTATTGTTTTTAGTCCCAGTTTCCTTCCCATCACTATTGGTTCCCTGTGCATTTTCCTTCATTTCTCTTATCATAGCCTCCATTTGTTCATCTAATTTGTGATGAAATTCAACCAATTCTGTGAGTATCCTGATCACCAGTGCTTTGAACGGTGCATCTGATAGGCTGGTATCTCTTGGTCGCTTAAAAGTATTAACTCTGGGGCTTTGATTTGTATTTCCATTTGAGCCATTTTTTGGGTGGGGGTCTGGTTGCGCCTGATGCGTAGTAAGGGACCGAGCCTTAGGTATCCTCCAGGGCGGGGCAACCTAGTCGCATGGGTGGTAACATTGTATGTGGGGGTGGGATCCAAGAGGAAACAATGGTGCTTGCTCCTCTCTCTGTCAGATTTCAGTCCCTTCCACCGCTTCTCCCAAGCAAACGGCCTTTCTGGTGCTGATTCCCGTGTGGGTGGGCTTGTGCATGTTCTAGGACCTGGTGGGTCTTTCCAGTGCACTCTCCTGTGAGTCTGGGAGTCTCTCTGCCCCTCAACCCCCAGAGGTGTTTTCAACCAGTGTCCCGAGGCTCTATTTACTGGCGCTGGGACCCTGGGTTGCACAGTCTGTCTCACTGCCCAATTTTGCCTGGTTTATCTGCACATGAACGTGGCCTGGGCCGCCAGGTGCCTTGTGAGCATTGTCTCGTTTCACAGTCGCTGCCTCGCTGGGTCTGCCAGCCGCCTGTGCGCCTGGGATGCGTTAGGCGTCTGGTGCCACTGCTTTTTGTGTCGAGACCCCTCTCCACCTGGCTGCCCATCTCCACCCCTCCTACCGGTCTGCATGAATGTGTATATTTTAACTCCTTGGTTGTCCGATTTCCATACAGTTCAATTTTCTGTCAGATCTTGTTGTTACCTTGTTTCTAAATTGTTGCTGACCTTCTTTTGGTTGTGCGAGGAGGCACAGTGTGTCTACCTACGCCTCCGTCTTGGCTGGAAGACTCTCCTCATTGTTTTTAATTCATGTTTCTTCATTCTTTTCTGATGGGATGTTTCTTCCTTCTGGTGCACACCATTGATTTGAGTCCCAGTTTCCTTCCCATCACTATTGGTTCCTTGTACATTTTCCTTCATTTCACTTAGCATAGCCCTCATTTTTTTTCATCTAATTTGTGACGAAATTCAACCAATTCTGTGAGCATCCTGATTACCAATGTTTTGAACTGTGCATCTGATAGGTTGGCTATCTCTTCGTCGCTTAGTTGTATTTGTTCTGGAGCTTTGATCTGTTCTTTCATTTGGGCCATTTTCTTTCCTGATGCACCTGTTATGCATGAGGGGCAGAGCCTTAGGTGTTCACCAGGGCGGGTAACTCAGTTGCTGGGTTGTGACACTGTATGTGGGGGCAGGTCCGAGAAGGAACAATGGTGCTTGCTCGGCTCTCTGCCGGATTTCAATCACTTCCCGCACTTCCCACAAGCAAAGTGGGCCCTTCTGGTGCTGATTCCCGAGTGGATGGGCCTGTGTATATTCTAGGACCCTGTGGGTCTCTCCAGTGAACTCTCCTGTGGGGCTGGGAGTCTCTCCTGCTGCTGCCTCAACCCCCACAGGTGTTTTCAGTCAGAGGTTTGAGGCTTTATTTCCCCGCACTGGGGCCCTGGGTGGCTCAGTCTGTTCCGCTCCCCAGTTGTTCCTCCGAGTTTAGCTGTGCTCAAATGTGGA